CATTACTAGATAATTTACTATAGTCCCCTAGTGTGAAACATCTCTATAATAAATGGCCTTGTTGAAATTGATTTGGAGCTTTGTGCCACAAAAGTTTGTGCTAAGACAGCAAGGAAAAAGTCACATTTCAAGTCCAAAGTAAACTTCCAGCTAAAATATTGATGCTTTCTGTGGTGACGGGATGATGACGCCAGTGTCTGTGTGTTTACACTTCTCACCCCTGCAGTCTGTCTCGGCTGATAATGCCAACATGCCATCATTAGGGGAAGCCGTGCGCTGCTCTGCCTCCAGTCTGGATCCAGGGGGTCTGTATCTGATCTGCTGCCCACTGGCGTTGCTCCTCTGGGTGGGCAGCTGTGCACCTCCTCATGCACTTCTGCAACTTTTCAACACCAACTCCTTCTCCTACCTCACATCTGGAGAGGTGAGGCAAGGACACATTGAGCAGGCGTTCGCATTTACATTTGTTCATTTAGCAGACTTTCTTAAGTCACTGACAAATGAGAGCGATACAAATAGAAGGAGTTCAGCTTTGGGCTGCATGCATATTTAATCGCAAATATTAAAATCTGTCCCCGTTTGTGGAGGAAGATGATCTCTTTGAATAATTGCACATTTTGTGCTATGACAAGTAAACTGACAAACGTTACTGTTTAGTTCCCTAAATAAACACGTTCATTTTATTTAATATTATTTATTTACTTAATACACAAATAAATACAACAATAGTTGACCACTGTGTTGTACAATGAGACTAAAAGAATACCAACTAGATAAAAATGTAAAAAAAACACTGAAATAAAGAGACAAGTGTTCATAATGAGTTAACAGCAAGACTAAGTGGATGCGATTGTAACTGTACATTTAAAATTATTCAAAGAAGATCTCACAGATATAGGAAGACTGAGCCAAGCCCAGTTAAATGAACCGTTGTCTGGTGTCGGCATGAGGGTTTTTTATCAGGACCCCAACAAGTGGCGCTACAAGAGCAAGCTCCAGATTGGTTGTGTTGTGAATGTCCGCTAAAGTTCAGATTTATCCGCTTTATCACTTTACCACTTTATCCGCACGTATTGCACCGCAGGATGTCTATTTGCAACTTTGCATTGACTTTACATGTAAATCACTCATGCTTGACGCTTCCTCCGTGTCTGGTGTAAACGCAGCATAACACTTTATTCTCTGAGTACTAACAGTTTTTTGGAGCACTATCACATCTTGTGTATAGCCTCATCTTGAAGAATTACTGAATGCTTCAATTGTAAGTCACTTTGGACAAAACCGTCTGCGGAATGACTAAATGTAATGTAAATGAAGGTAAAGAATTTAGCAAGAATTCAAGTATTTTTAAGGGGAGTGTTTGTACAGCATTTCCCGCAGTACACACTTGTGATCAAATGTTATTGTTCTGATTGTTTATTTCTGTGACTGTGCTTTAGTCATGTAAATGTTTTGTTTGTTCACTGTAGATCAAGCTTCCGGTGCTTGAGACGTCTCTCTCCATCAACACCAGAGCTCTCATTCACTCTCTGCAGTCTTCAGCAGCTGTTACTCTTCAGGTGAACCACTTGCAGAACATTTTCCATCACAGATTGACAGCGTGTGGATAGTTCATTTTGTGCTAAAAATATTATAACTGCTGAAATTCACATTATTTCTAATTTAAATTATAGAATAATGTTTACATTACACCAAAAAAAATATATATATATATATCAAAATGGACAGGTGAATGAAAAAAAAAAATTTGCCTGCAATGTCATATCTTATTTGAATATTTTGAATGAATTGTGCTAAAAGTTGATATATGTGTGTGTTGTATCTTTTTGCCCAGCTAAAATTAGTGCGTGAGGGTGACAGCTGTGAGGAGTCTCTGCAGCGCCTCCTGGTGGAGGACAAGAGTCCAAACGGTGGAGCTTCATACGCGGATTTCCTTTTTCACCTTCATGTCAATGTGTTGCGTCTTATTGTGTGACAGTCTCTTTTTATAGACTGTGGCTGGTGAATATTGTGATTAATGATGTACCTCTGCGGTCATTATAGGCATTGCTGCTATTCTCAAATCAGTGAGGATCCTCAAATCTGTGTCGTATGCATTTACCTCTGAGATATATGTTATGAGTTTGGTATGCAAAATCATTGTGACCACAAAATTGCTGTATACTAAGATCAGTCCTTTAATTTTCAAGGGCTCGGAATGACTTAATACTGTTTGAACTCCCATCAAAGACTCAAAGAATGAGTAATCATTGTGTATTTGAAGTGTGTGTGTGTGTGTGTGTGTGTGTGTGTGTGTGTGTGTGTTTGGTTCTGGACTTGAGCCTTATTTAATATATGCTCTTAAGTTTCACTCTGAATTGAATTCATGAACTGTTGAGTTACAGAGTGTGCATGTTAATATTTTAAGCAATAATATATTCATTGAATCTTTGGGTCTTGTTGCACCTCAATTTTTAATGTCCTGATAAAACAGCTGATCATTTTCAATGGTCTATCAGCGTGTAAACCTAACATTTTACAGTTTTAATCATTTATGTAACATTTCTTTTGTAACACACTTTTTCCTCTGAAATGAATAAATAACTGTAAATGTGTGACTGGCTCTGAATCATCATCTTTATTTATTTATTTATTTATTTTGCATTGATCTTCTTTCCAATGTATGTTCTTGTGAATTCCTGCCTCTCCTCCACAAAGAGCTGAAGGGGAGTGAGACACTCTTAATGAGTCATAACAAGTCTAATTAGTGTAATTGGGGTTAATGATGTTGACATTGAGAATATGAATTTGGATATCTGAGTGGGCGTCTACGTTCGTTATCTAATGGTCTAAAACAGATCCAAATAAGCAGTGAAATAGGTGCACATGATGGATCCATATACTAAAAATGTTCCTAATGGATTGACTATTTTAATGCTGTTGTCTTATTAGTAAAATAAGACATGCAAAATACATGCAAAAGTTGAACAAAACTACCCCCCCCCCCCTTATTTATATTCATTATTTTGAATGAAAAAAAACAAAAACATATACAGTGCAATCCCATCATGCACATACAGTACACTCACGGGCCACTTTATTAGGTATACCTTACTTGTACCGGGTTGGACAGGAGTGGCTCCTAGTGTGGTCTTCTGCTGCTGTGGCCTATCCGCCTCAAGGTTAGACATGTTGTGCGTTCAGAGATTGCTCTTCTGCATATCTTGGTTGTAACGAGTGGGTATTTGAGTTACTGTGCCCTTCTATCAGCTCGAACCAGTCTGGCCATTCTCCTCTGACCTCTGGCATCAACAAGGCATTTTTGCCCACAGAACTGCCACTCACTGGATATTTTTTCTTTTTCAGACTATTTTCTGTAAACCCTAGAGATGGTTGTGCAAGAAAATCCCAGTAGATCCGCAGATTCTGAAATACTCAGACCAGCCTGTCTGGCACCAACAACCATGCCACATTTAAAGTCACTTAAATCACCTTTCTTTCCTATTCTGATGCTCAGTTTGAACTGCAGCAGATCATCTTGACCATTTCTACCTGCATATATGCATTGAGTTGCTGCCATGTGATTGGCTGATTGGAAATTTGCATTAACAAGCAGTTGGACAGGTGGACCTAATAAAGTGGCCGGTGAGTGTACATTAATAATAGTAAAAAGAGCATATTTTATTTGTATTGTGCTGTACATATGATGGAGATTCAAAATTCAGCTAAATTCTTTTTTATTTCTATAGTGCTTTTTACAATATTGTGCCATAGTAGCTTAACACAGATCAGGGGTGCCCAAACTTTTTCTTATGAAGGGCCAAAAAGCAAACTTGATTGAGGGTAGTGGGCTGAAGGTGACCAAACTTTATTAGGTTAAAACTGCCTTGGGCAATTTCCTTATTTTTATAATAATCTAAAAATATATCTAGAAAACTTTGGTTTAAATAAACTAATACAGTATATATTTTTTTACATTTAATAATGAATTTATTATATTAAAAACAAAAACAATCCCATTCATAACAGAATGGAGTTCAGTAAAGGACGCCTTCATTACCTCGTCAATGTTTTCTGCATTGTCTTCTGTCCGTCGAGTGACTATTTACATTTTAGAAAATCTGGTTCATTTATGGATACATTTAATTCACACATTTAGCTAGCATTCAATTAGCTTTTTTGTTGCTATGCAAGTAAAAAAAAAAAAAAAGTGAAATTAGAAATGACAATCTCTGCCAAAGGCATTCGCTTCAACGCTCCCTATTACTCTCTTTTCTGATGGGATGGTCAAACCAAAGGTTACCATGGTCCAACTTTGGTCCACAGACCCTAGTTTGGGCATCTCTGACATAGATGAAGTAAAGAGAATAAAAAGCCAATATTTCAGGTTGTGGAACATTCCAGCAATACAGACAGGCAGGAGAATGTAGAGCAATACTAGTGTTCAAGTTAAAGTAAATGTATTCACTTCAGTTTAATACACATTTACTACTCTACACAAGTAATGCAAATAAAACAAAATATACAAATACGACAAAGCTGAAATTCTAATATTTTATTGGACTGACACATTTTTTTTGGAAACTTTATATGTTTTACAAAATAACAGCCTTTTATTTTATTTTTACAAAGTAGCCTTACTGTGTCTTTTGAGGAATAAATAATGTCAGGTATTATCAACACTCAAAACTATCAGAAATATTACCTGATCATTAAATAAGCAATTTAGGTAATTATACATTTTTCCTATCTAAATAAATTTTTCTAAATTTTTTTTTACAATATATATTTTTGAGCATGTGCTGGATATTTTATTTTCGTTAATCTCCCCTGCTTAATTCGCCTATTTCTTCTGATTTACACGATACTATCTTGATTACGTAAGAGCTCATCGAAATACAAATAGCCCCCCTCATGGTTTGTCCCTATTTGGAGTTACAATAACAGTAATCCAGCAGCGCGCCCACGCACGACGGTGCCGCGCTCGGCCATCAGGTGGCGAGCGCGAGTCAGCTGTCAGCGCGCTCTCGCAGTCTATTTTGAAGGCAGGCGATTGGAGCACAGCGCGGGGGTGAGGACGCCCGCCGTCAGCATACACGCTACGCTACTCACCATTAACCTGTCATTTCAAGACATATCTGGCTTTTTTTTGAGCTCAACGTCGAGGCGAATATCCCTGACGCTCCAGCTCGCCGAATCAAGGACGTTTTGTTATTCTTAAAGCGTGTCCGAGTCCGAGACGGGAAGACATGGCCACGACTACATGTACGCGCTTCACGGACGAATATCAGCTGTACGAGGAGCTGGGCAAGTGAGTATCACGCGGTGAACGGTTGTGTGTGTCTAATATAACTGTGTTGCATGAAGATTGCATGACGGTATTTTGGGCAGGGAAAGCAAACTGACAGCAAACGAGTGTGGTGGAGCCCCGATAAACGTGCTGTCTCAGAGGGAGGAGAAAGACACACGAGTCCTGCCAAGATCCGCTGACCGTCACTCAGAGCCTCTAACGTTAATGTGATCTCAAAACAACACACTTGCCGCAGATACAGCAACAAACACTGACCAGTGCAACGCCCCTCGAGCTCATATCCCATGCTCAAATATAACGTTAAAGTAAAAGTGCTGGTGCAGAATATGGTGTGCATTTGCGTTGGCTTGTGTTTGATATGTCTGCACAATCCACGCCGTGATGTTTTTTTTTCTGTGCTTTACAGGCTGTATGTAGGCTATTGGTGAACGAATCGTTCTTTGGAATCGGATCTTTTGACTAGTCGTTTGAACTGGTTCGCGAATCTGAGTGAATCGACATTCGAATTGAATCGGTTGAAGTTTTGTTTGCACAGCATAGCAGGCATATAGTCACATTTCCTTATAAATACGCTGGCGACTTGACTGTATGTCAGTATTGTTAAGACACAGGGGAAATACGTTCAAAGTAGCATTGATTCAGTCAACATTGAATAAAGTGGATTTTAAACTGTATATTATTAGTGTGACTTCGAAAATGAATGGCTTCAAAATAACTTTTTATGATACGACTGATTGCACTGCAACAAACTGAACTGAGAATTCGGCCAATACGGATTTAAAAGCCAATATGTGATCGATAAATACGGTGGCTGAGAGAGCGTAACGTGCTACAATTTAAGAGAATGCGTGCAAATTGCAATTACAAAAAACGGCAGGAAATTGATCATACGTTTGACAGCACATGTGCTGCAAATCGTCACAACACATACACATTTAAAAAACGCTGCATTTTCACACAACACAAAAAAATAAAATAAAATGCGCTGTATTTTCTCACAACATAAACAATTTACGAAAATGTGCTGCATTTTCTCACAACACAACGGAAATGTTTCAAGGAGACCCTAAAACTTGATGGATTTAGGCTAATAAATACTATAGACATGGGAATCAGGATATTAAAATAAACAAACAAAAAACTCACCTTTCGAAGATCACCTAAATTTTTACTGAGCAATATTTTGCGTCCCAATTCGCATACTATTCATCCTAAAGTGTATTTAAAAATAGAATTAGTATGTCTCAAATCGTAGTATGTTGAAAAGTGTATGCCAAAGGTTCCTGGATGGTTTACTATTTCCTGTAAAAACTTAAGTGTAGAAACGTCCAGACTCTAAAGCCGCCTTTCCACTGCACATGACATTTGGACATGACTGTCGGAATACGCACCTTGTGGCAGTCGCACAGAATTTTTAGTTCTGACGTGCACCATTGGAGAGAAGCTGTTCTCACAGTGTCCGAAATAAAGGAGTGAAAAAGCAATTTTCCGTGGTTGAATGAATGAATACTAGAAACTCGGACCGCTAAAAATATTGGAGGGAATGTGGAGACAACATAAAAATATATATTTTCATTACTTTATTACTTACATTTATGAATAGAAATGTTTTTTTTTAATATAGACTTTTTCTGATTAAAAAAATAACCAAATAAAGTCCTATTTCTCATCTCGTGCACACGGACCTGCTTGAACAACACTAGAATACATCACATCCGGTCGGCTGGTCGCATATGGTCTAGTCGCAGGAGTTCAAATATTTCAACGGATCTGCAGCTCAATACGAATCCGAATTTTCCGCATACGGAGATGATCGGAACTTCACGCAGCTCCCAGACTACTCTCCATTGGAAATGAATGACTTCCAGTCTGTCGCTTGTCGTTTGCAGTGGAAAGGAGGCTTAAGCGCTGATATTGCCCACAGTACATTGTGTGTTGGATGTGAATTCATGAAATGTGTAAAGAAACTACAAACATGGTCGACGCACAAGACCAACTGTCAAGTAGAGAGGCTTCAGTAAAGATGTTTGTATGACTGTTAATTAATATGTAGCCCACTGTAAACTATTAAAGTTGTGTTTTCATAGTTATATTTCAACTGCAACAACAATACTGAACTCATATAAATAAATGTTTGGACATTAACATATAAATTCATAATTATGCAAAAGACCTCAGCAGGTTTCTCTGCATGAAAGACTCGCGAATGGCAGATTATCCTGCTACTGCTTCTCCAATAAGGAAGGAGATTAAATATGAAAGATGCGTGAATGATTGACAAGCTCATAACTAAGCAACATAACGATCTGTTAACGAGGAAGTAGTATGTCCCACTCCCAAAGCTTGCAAACTCTTCTGTTACACACTTAACAGTGTACATTTTTCCTTCACAAAAAAGTATACTTTTAAGACATAGTATAAGGATGTGAATTGGGACGCACAACTGTCACAGCACAGCAGTGTCCGTCAAGTTTTTTTGGGTCCCCTTGAAACATTTCTATTGTGTTGCGTTCTCTTTATGTTGTGAGAATGCAGCACATTTAAATAATTTGTTTGCGTTGTGGGAAAATGCAGCACATTTTTTAATGTGTATACATTGTAAGGATTTGGGCACGTATGCTGTCAGATGGATGAATATATTTTCTTAATTTGCTGGTGTTTATTGTAATAGCATATGTTTTCTTGTATTGCAGCACGTTAAGCTCTTTCGGCCATCGTAGTTAAAGATAAATTCTAATATATTTTCTTACTGAAACAAAATGCCAATAAATACAGTGGACAACTGGTTTTAGCTGCAAAAAACATTTAGATTTTAGATTTAGATTTAGTTTTCGTAAATTCATTTTCATTAATTCATTCATTCCAATGAGTTCCAGTCCCCCCCAAACAAATGTCTATTCTGACATCTTGATTTAACTCTAGGGAAAAAAATCTTCCGAAGTGCTTGTGACATAATCAAAATCCTCATGGCCTTCAACATGCATCTGCACAGAAAACTTTACTTTTTGATTGTAAGAATGCATTTTACATTAAATAATTGAAAAAAAAAAACACCTAAACTAACACATTTTCACCTGTGAAATGTTATCCCATTGCTTATGGAAATTATATCTAGGCTTTTTTTTATTTATTTATAATTTTTTAATAACTAACTAGAGGTTTTGCAATGCTTTAACGTCTTGGAAAACTCATTGACTTTTACTGTGAGTTGTGGCATTCTAAGATGTTGTGGCATTCCGTTCCAAGATGGCAGACCAGTCAGCTGATCTGAAGTTGGATGTGGTGTCAATGTGTACATATCTATTGTCAGGATATAATTTGTTGAATCTCTATACATCTTGGGCGAATAGAGTTGTTCTTTTAAATTAGTTTTTTTTTTAAAACGAGCTGCTTGAAACAAACAATTGTTAGTGACTTGACAGGCAAAAAGAGGAGTAAACACGAGACGTAGTGATGCTTTCATGCATCTTAAAGGGCAGCGGAGCAGGAGCATTTGACAAGGGTCTCCTCACCCCTCAGGCCTTAGGTTAAGCAAAACCGCTGCTCAAACCAGCAGAAACATGCAGATGTGGTTGCACATGACCTCTGTAGCACAGAAACGCATGCGAGCTGTGTGTTTATCTGTCTCTCTCTTTTATCCAGTAGCTCCAGTCATCCTAGCAATGCAAGGAGAATTAGTTGTAGAGGAGGAGTTGGAGACAAACACACATGCACACACACGCATGCGTCCAGAGCATATAAATCACTTTAATGGACACTAAGGACTTTAACTGGCCTGACAAAAACAGGCTTTATTGAAGAGCACTTTAATGTTAACCGTGGCTTGTTAAATACTGCCTAGAAATGACCCCTGACATAGTTGGCACCAATTTGTTTATGAAGACTGATGACATTTTCGTTCCATATCAAGATGCATTGATTACAGTAAGACTAGGAATGTAAGAAAGTAAAATGATTAGGGGTCAATGACGCTTTCCAGTTGATTAACAGAGGATAAATTATACACAATTCACTTTTTGGACAACTTCATAGTAGCCTGATGTTTAGGGCTGCATGAATAAAAGAAATGACAACAAAATTGCATTATGGCTTAGTGATATTTTCAAATCATGAATACTAAAAAAATATCCACAAAACAGACCAGATGCCTTTAGTGGTTCAATCTGAATATTATTAAGCTAAAAGCAAAAAAATACTTTGAACAGTTTTTTTCTCTTCAGTGTCAGAATAGTGTGTGCAATCAAGAGTGCACTGTCATGCTAACCTGTAACCTGCTGATGTATTATCCGGGACCTGCAGTATACGTCACCACACTTGTGATATGCACAATATACTGACACTGAGGAGAAGAAACTGTTGAAATTTTTGTTTTATGTCTGCAGAAAAGTATTCTTGTAACTTCATAATATTCAAATTGAACTCTTGGTTATGCCCTGTTTTGAGGATGTTTTTTTTTCATAATGTTTTGTACTTTGAAGTAGGGCTGCAATAACTAATTAAATATAATAAAATTTGGTTTCAACTAATACTGTTATCAATTAATTGGGCTGCTCGCATGCCTAAAGAGTAGGGCTGTGCGATTTGGAGAAAATATCTAATTGCGAATTTTAATTATTTACTTATTTATTTTTTTTAAAGATATTGTGATTTTTTTTTTTTTTTTTTTTTCAATTTGATTTGGATTTTGGATTTGAATTGATTTTAATTTTGGACTTAAGCTTCAGCTCAATATTCTGCATTGTAGCTTTTTACTGCGAAAATGCAGTGTTAGTTAAAAAGAAACTGAAAACATACTCCATATTTTATTCAAATTTGTTTATAAATATATTCAGAAATTAAACACAAATTTTTCTTGAGAGTAAACGGTACTGAGTTATTGTGTTAGTTATCTCTTGGTGCCTTTGTGACGTTTTTTCATACGTTGTAACCGCTGCAAACAACTCTGAAATTGTACTTTGCTGTTGCTAGCTACTATATTGAGCATCACTGGAAATACTTTTAGTCGACTTTTTAGCAAGACGCTCCTCACATAGCCACCTGTGGTGCTTTATTTAGGTGCTTGTTGTATTTCCTCGTGCTTGGGCAACAATTCTGCGACAGCTATTACAAATGACCTGTTTTTGTTTGGTGACAATTTGAAAGCAAAATATTCCCATATTACCAAAGTGCTGTTTTTCTTTGGTATTAATTCGGCTATTAATGCTTCTGAAGCGGCAGATTCCATCCTCCTGCTTGCTTTCCTGTTTTTTAGTGGGCATTCCGCATAGTTCGGTTGCGCAATTCTGTTTGGACAGAATGAAAGTGTGCTTACTTACTAAACTGTCACACACAGACGACAGTCATGCATTTGCTCTGGGTGGAGGAAATTATATAATCTATATACAGTATATTTTATATTTCAGCCTCTTGATTTACGTCATCCCCTGATTTACGTATTTTTTTATTTAAATTATTTTTAGGGGGTTTTCACCTTTAATTAGAAAGGACAGTTGAGGATACAGACAGGAAAGAATTGGGAGCAGAGAAAGTGAAAGGGTCATTAAAGGACCTCAAGCCGGGAATCGAACTCGGGTCACTGTGAGCAGCATTGTGCTAAATGTTGGTGCACTTAACCATTAGGCTATTGCAGCAGAAATGTATGGTTTTATATAGTAATAAATTATGATAAGTGAAAGGTCATTTTTTAATCCAATTATTCAATTAAAAGAAAAAATAATCCGTTATCAAAATAACCATTAGTTGCAGCCCTACTTTGAAGGAGTCTTGATGTTCACATATTGCATCTAAAAGCAAGTGGAAAATGTAAGCGTGTCACTTCCTTCTCTATTTTCAGTGCATTTTTCGCTCGCGTTCCTTTGTCGCTTGTTGCTAGGTGACCATCAACCATTTTTTAAGAGGGTGACAAGTTGACAAAACATTGCTGCAGCTCTAAAGTTTTAGTTCTGGAAAAATTTATAAAAGCACTGCTTGGGTGTTCTGTGTTTTTCTAAGATAATTAGTCTACTGAAATGTGTATTCCATATACTTGTCAGGTGACTCACGGTGCGCTTAGGGCATTCTCAAAAGTTGAGATTTTTTTCAACTAGGTCTGGCTAAAATACGTGAGCGTGATGCAACGCTTGCGTGCCAGTGCACCTCCCTTCATTGGAAATAACAAACTTGCGAATGCAAAAGATGCAATATGTTAACGGCCTCTCAGATTTCATCTAAAATATCTTGATTTGTGTTCTGAAGATGAACAAAGATGAACAAATTAGAGTAGTTAATAACATAATTTTCATTTTTTTCCTTTTAGGATTTGCAAAGATGTTTTAGGTCAAGATATATTTTTTGCTGGAAGGTTTTATTATTTTTTTTTTTGGCTGTTCACTTATATAAAACAAAACCAACTATAGAAAAGTATTATTTATAAAATGTGGTAAACTTGATCTTTTTTTGCCATGACATAGCCATAGAAGCTGATAAAGCTGATATTTCATTTTAGTGACATCGCCACTACTGCAAAATAATCTTGACAGCGGGATGTATGGACGTTTGCTATTTAATAAATTATTCACTGTGTTTAACATTGGTAGCCATTATCCTACTCTCTTAGCTTCTGTCTATTCCCTCCTGAAGCATAAAAACAAACACCAAACATGCTGCCAGGGTTTGAGGCAGGCTTCTCTGATGTGCGCCTTTTAATTTCCATGCAGCAGAAACTTCACTGTCAACACGTTGCGCAGCTATAGCTATGTTGTTATTGTCCTGTCAAGACCTTATTCCTAAAGTCTCAATTAATTTGTCTTTTTTTCCTCAGGGGAGCCTTTTCAGTGGTGCGACGATGTGTAAAGTTGAGCACAGGACAAGAATATGCCGCCAAAATCATCAACACCAAAAAACTGTCCGCAAGAGGTGAGTCAATTTCTAAACTAATTTATGTTAATGGAACAATTTAAATGGATTCAGTTCTTCCTTTTTGTTTTATATCATTATATAGTGTTGTTTAAATTATGGCCGGGCTGATAAACGATAGTATATCTAATCGCGATAAAATTGATGTCAATACAATGATTTTTTTCCTCAATACTGATCTAAAAGCCAATCACAGAGCAGGTGCATGTGCAACAAGGGGAATCTAAAAGTGTGTTGTTATTAAAGATGTACTAAATTTTCGGCCTTCAGTGTCAGTGTAAATTTTGTGTTTTCAGTGATTGTTGGGATAATCTTTTAAATCTGGAAGCATTAAGAATTTATATTGAAATGTATGTCGTTATCTTTCAATATAGAAAATAATTATCAAGATTGCATTTTTGCTATATCAACCAGCCCTAGTTTAAATGTTTATGTTCTGGAAATTTACTGTTGCAGTATAACAGAAGTGGCAATAGTTAATAATTTAACATACTTCTAAATTAAATGGATTATTAAAAAAAGAGAAATCGTACCAGTGGTTTTGTTTCATTGGTTGATTTTGATTAACAGTATGACAAAACGAATATGAAACATTATTGTGAATAAATTGTTTCTGATAATATCATAAGAAAATACATTGGACTTTTTCTGCAGGAATAAAAACAAATCTTGGCTGACACGATCTGGCAGGATCCTAAAACTAAAAAACATTTATTTGTTTTTGTATATTTTTTTGTTATTTTTGTACAGCTTGGTACTTTGAAAGCAGCTTTTGTTAGACTTGGAAATAATTTCATTTCATGGCTTTATTTACTCTGAATTTGAAGGCAATCAGATTTTAAGCTAATATAAAAATGTTATTAAATCTAATTATTATGTATGATTGTATCTGTCAAGCAGAACATGCATACTGATAGGGCTGCACAATATATCGTTTAAGCATCGATATCGCAAAGTGATCATTCGCAATGTTCACATCGCAGGATATGCAATGAGTTTGTAAACTTTGTATTGAAATTTACATTTGCATATGTTTTTAAGCCTTGTGACTGATTAAATACGCTTAATTTCCAAATTGAATTTTCTGTTAACTTCAACTGTAAAAAAAAAAAAATAATAATAATAATAGTTAATTGACTTTTGAATTTCACCGGCATTTGTTTATTTTGTTTGCATATTTGCTTCAATAGAAACAAGTATTAAATATTTTTGCTTTCAAAATTTGACTCAAGGTTCTTTGAATCAATTTTCTATTGACGTCAATCATCACAATTATAATAGTTAATGGACTCTTCAATGTGTGTGGTGTTTCTTTTCATTTTGGTTGCATATTCACTTTAAGATGCCTGCATTTCTGACTCTGGTCCTCACATGTTTTCAGTTGTCAAGTTCCAATTGTTTTGTGACTTTGGCTCAGTGTAGTGTCTGTAAGCTCTCTGTAGTGTTTGAATGTGATTATTGGACAATAATGACCTGTGCCTCATTGATTGGAGCATCCCTAAACTCATATTACCCCATTCATTCATTCATTCATTCATTCATTCATTCATTTTCTTGTCGGCTTAGTCCCTTTATTAATCCGGGGTCGCCACAGCAGAATGAATCGCCATCTTATCCAGCACGTTTTTATGCAGCGGATGCCCTTCCAGCCGCAACCCATTCCTGGGAAACATTCACAAACACACACACACACACACACACACACTCATACACTACGGACAATTTAGCCTACCCAATTCACCTCTACCGCATGTCTTTGGACTGTGAGGGAAACAAGAGCACCCAGAGGAAACCCATGCGAACGCAAGGAAAACATGCAAACTCCACACAGAAACACCAACCGAGGCTCGACCCAGCGACCTTCTTGCTGTGATGCGACAGCACTACCTACTACGCCACTGCGTCGCCTTCATATTACCCCAGTAATGTGGAAATTAATTATTACTGTTTTCATCAGCTGTTGCATTTTGCATTAAGATAACACTTCAGGGTGTTTCAGAGGATATCATGGTACCAAAAAAAAAAAACTTAACTAAGATTTGTGCAGAACACCCAAAAAATTGCACAAAACACTCACAAATACAATGTTAGGACCATTCAAAGTTCTACAACATGCTGATAACTATATTTAAAACTGCTTCCATGGTTACTGTTATTCCCAAAGGCAGTTTCAGACACCATGGCAGTGAGGCAGAAACTACACTAATGAAATGATGGAAAGAGATTTCAATTTTTTAATGCCATCTCGCTGTCGAAGAGTGTAAATCTTTTTACGCCCTTCCGTCCTCCCTCCTGAAACTTGAAGCCAGCAGTTGCTTTGCCAGAGTGTCGTCCTCTTCATGTCCCCCATTGGCTGTGCGGTCATTGTGGTAAGAATGTGTAATGTGGAGAACAAGCACTTGACATGGATTTAATTCCACAGGCGCTGAAAAGCATTTTAAAATAGGCCCAACAACCCTTTTAATTCAGCTTGTGCAAATAGAAGCATTGCTGTCTGATTGGATGGTCGGATGAAATCATATTAATGCTGGGAGTGTAGTAGGGCTGCATGGTATTGGAAAAATCTGACATTGTGATATTTTGCTGCGATTTATATTGCGATTTTAATACAGTTTCGATTACTTGAATAGCTCTATTTAAAATGAAATCATTAAGTTTAATTGGAATAATCTAGTAGAGGAGTAAATCAAAGAAGGTGCCAGAATAAATAAAGATAAAGGTTAAACAAGCAGTCAGATATTCAGGTACATTAATACGATACAATATTATCATGATATTTTGCCCCTGATAATATACATCACGATATCATATATCAAATTTACTGTACAAAACTTGTCAGTGAACTGCGAGGGCAAAACAATAAAATAAATAAAATAATTATTTAATCGTAATCAAGTTAAAGTGTTCAATTAACCTAGATTTTGATTTAAGGCCAAATCGCCCAGCCCTAATATTATTTTTAATCTTGACGTGTTCGTGATGGGTTTCAGGAGTGTCGTCCTAGTCCTTTTCTTAAATTCTAAAGAAGTATTGCAGCATTTTTTCATGACAAGCAAGTATAGGAAAATAAATATTTACAGCATTTAATTTATCATTTATTTGACAAAATACAGCACTGCGGTGGGTCCTGTAGATTAGGAGTGACTGTCTTTAGGCTGAGATTTACTCTTAGGAGAGGGAAACAATATGATCTGTCAAGGGGTTAGACGAGGGTGGGCAGGAGAGAGGGAATGTGACCTAGATATACAGAAAGAGAATGAGTGGGAGAGAGAGAGAATATGAAACATCATGAATGACTTGGAGAGAAAGACATGTAAAGAGAGGGCTGACAGTGAAGGAACCTTTGGCACTCGGCAGCTGTGTGAGTGTGTGAGTGTAAAGACGAGAGGGACAGATTGAGCATGCTTACATGCCTGGAGCACGGGACTCTCATCTGACCAAGAGAGATGGTCATGACCGTGGCAAAACACACAAACAAGTTCATCAGATGTGGTTTGTAGTTAAAGCTATTAGCAATGCATCATGTTATCAATGTTTTTTTGTTAGTCCTTATCTTTGAACCATCACTCTACCTAAATGCATAACTGAGTGCAAAAATTAAATAAACCGGTACAACAGCTTGTTATCGGGGCAGGATCTTTGCATATTCAAGAACATTATTTACCCCTAATAGTTACTACCTTAAGTGCTTTTGCATCCAAGAAACTGTATGATTTCATTAGTTCCTATAACTATATCTCAGGGTATCCACAGGGTCTTAAAATGTCTTAAATAAAAAAAAAACCTCAATTTTAGGCCTTAAAGTCTTAAATTCACTGAAATACGGTGTTTTATTTCTTTAATAATTTTAAACAGGTCTTAGTTTTCCTTTGTCAAAAGCCACTCAATCGGTACAATCAACAGTCCATATAAAAAAAAAAAAAACGTAACAAAAGTTAGCCCTATCAACCAATGCGGTTTATGTTCTTTACGTCTTTAAGGCTGATTTATATTTCTGTGTCAAGCGCACACTTGTATTCTGGCGCAGTCATATAGCTCTCTCGTGGCTGACGTCGACGCTGATGTGCACCTCTCAAAAAATTTACCTACACATTGCAACGACGCATAGCGTCTCTGCAAGCTCTGTGATTGGTTGGCTTAGTACAAAGTGACAAGTGTGGCTGGTGCTGAATGCCACAAGCCCGATAAAGCGATTTTGTTTACAGGTGTCGAGTCCCATGAAGGAGCTCTAGATGGAAACTTTGATTTGTTTACCTTTTGCTTAGTTGTTTGCTGTAAAGGTTCCTGCAACTGAACGAGCGAGTTTGAGCTACTTGTGCATTAAGCTAGCATTCGGAAAAAAAACAAAACACTCGTGAAAAATTCAACACATCATAGTCATCATAGCAAAGATAAAAAAAAATCTGTTACTAGAAATGAGTTATTAAATCTGTTGTGTTTAAACTGTGCTTTAAGCATCTTCACTGTAAGAAAAAATTAGCTACAAAAGTCCTTTGGTCAAGAGCAGTGAGGGATTTTCTCCTTTTGTTGTTTGATTAATATCAAAAACAGTCAGCAGCAGGATTATTGTGCGCTGTCGCTTTAAGAATAGTGCGGCTCTGATATATGGCTTCTCTTTCACATGTCTTTTGATTCTTAACTTTTGCTCATTAAACAAATGAGGGTTAATATGAATAATCACTAAACACCGCGCTCTGACAAAAAAGTGCATGTATTTGACCATTAAAGTGCTCACATTAAGATGGTGTTAGATGTGTGGGCTCTGCTCATCTCCGAGCCTGTCCGAGGCTAAGCGCGGCACACACACACACACACACACACACACACACACACACACACACACACAGCATGTGCTCTTTCGTGCTTTTAAAAATATGAGTGATTCGCATCTCGTGCTGCAAAAGTTACATTACAGTACATGCTTTTAGTCGTTTTCACGTGGAACTGAGCTTTGCAGAGCAACATGTGTACAACTGGAAAGGGGGCAGTATATAATGGAA